TCACACTTATATATAGCTGACCTCCACTACCGCCCCTCCCTTTTTTTTAGGTATCTGTTTAAGATTGTTTTGATTACATAGAAAACATACAATAAGGATCCCTTTCAGAAAAAATCACCATAAGAAATGAGATGAATAAACTAGCAAAATGAAAAATAGGTCAAGACTGATAAGTTTGATGCAACTGATTCTAAGTATATTAAAAACAACCGAGCAGTTTTAATCTTTAAAAAGAAGTTAGTCACTTAAGATATTCAAATTAAATATCTTGTCTTAAATGTCTCTGGATGGAGAATTATTTGCTCACCTATGCCCAAGCATGTATTTACATATCCCTGAAGTGCATGGTATACAGCTTTTCATAAACAATGATAGTCTTCTTTGTGCTTAGGTAAATGTTTTTAAAATGTTGCGGGAGGCGAGAGGGGAAGAGGTAGCTATTGTTTGCCCTACCTTGTTTCTCATTTATGTCAAGAGCTGGTACCAGTCAATGAGAGTTACTAGGATAATTAGACTAAGACTATCGGTACCAGCAAACCAAAAAGAGGAAAAAAAGCAAAACAGAAGAAAACTAATTCACAAATGTATTTTCAAAAAACAAAAACACATTTAGTTATTAGTGAGTTCTTAACACCCACCATTTCAAATGAACATTACTTTCATGCATTCAACATACAAACTCCCCAGAATTCAACTGTCATTTTGTTTTATGTATTTACCTGCCTTGTCTCACTATTCCCCTAAGATACAAGTTTCAAATTATGTTATCAGAAGTGACAGCCGTGTCAGAAATATCTTTTAAACCTTTTTCCATCAGAAAAAGTTACTAAGTACATGATAAATTGCAAATTTACTGTGTATCTCATGTTTTGTTTAGATGTGGAAACAGTACTCATGAATTAAAAGAGCTTCTTTACATAGATGTATATAATAGTTTAATTTAGATGAGAAACAGTTTGAAAAAACTGTTAACTTTTAAACTACAGATCTGGCTTATCTCCTAATGATTAAGCTACTAATCATTAAAAAAGAACCTAAAATCAATGTTGCATTTAGGTTTCTGTTGAAATTCTAACAAACAACATTTGCAGTATTACTCATAGCTATTGCTTCTTCATTAAAAATTAAGATGAAATATTTGATGGACACAGCATTTTCAATTTAAATGCTATAAAAGAATCTTTGACCTTCCCAGCTGATTCATGCTGCTCTCCCACCTAGAAATCTTACAATCAGATTGTCCTCAGCTCAGAATATTACTAATCCACTCAAAAAAATGGACACCATTCAAGAAAAATAAAATGGGAAAATGAAAAAAGTCAGCTATTTGAACAAAGGCCACCAAGAATGACAATCTGCTTCTCAAGGATAATTACTGCTGCAATAATTACACATATGATGATTGATTTACTATTTGTATTTTTTTACTAGAGAAATAATTAATATGGCACCATAAATACTTAACACAGATAGAGTGAAGAAATGTGTAACACTTTAAGTGTATAGTATACTGTCACTAAAACCCAAGCCACTCCATCTGAAATCTAGGATTTCACAATTTTCTCATTTTAGAAAATCTTAGGCTACTAGTACAAAAAGCAGACTATGCTCAGACCTACACATAAAATGGAAGCTGAATTTTTGAGTTAATTTAAGTGTTATTTACAGAAAAGCACTTTTCAGTCTGTAAAATGTGTGAGTAGCACACATACACATGCTTATATAAATGAGCATGATGAAAACATGGTCCTATTCTGACAGAACAATTTACACCATTTTCCCATTAATTTTGTGTTTCTTCACCTGTACTAGATTTGTAAGTCCAACTCTGTATTTGTTCAGTTCAACTTTTCTGACATCTTATAAATATGACCCACTGATGCCCTACTTATTGGCCACAAAAATCATACGAACATGTAAATAAACCCTCATTAGGGAAGTCCAGAACTAAACCGATGCACAACCAACAAAACTTTGTCAATTCATTTTAAAAGATAAGTGAAGAGCAATACATTTGTTCTTTGCATGCTGATGAACAAAAGCACTACTGAACTGTACAAACTTCAGTAAATTAAATATATGACTGAAAAAGAATGCAAGGCAGCAAATTCAAGACACTATCCCCTTTTGGAGGTAAGAAAAAAAAATAGAGCCTGATCTAAAGCCCACTGAAGTCAACTGAAAGACTTTGGAAGGGAACTTCGGGAGTTTTGTTTTAAGCAAATGAAACACTATTTTTAATGGCTCCTGCTGTACACGTTCATAGAAGCTGATCCTGCTCCACCGAGAACGGGATAATTTTGTGGACTTCAATGCACTCAACTCCTGATTTAGAGGAGAGTAGCCGAGACAAGACTAAGGCCTGTTCCTTTTACACTAGGAAACAGCTCACGGGCACATCCCTCGGCCCCCTTCCAGGGTCTGTATTCACAGCATGCACAACCCTCCAGTCTTCCAAGACCTTGGCTCTTTACTATGGCAGGCCTTCTTCCTTCACCCC